TAAATTAAAACATCATGGAGTTATTGTATGTTTCTATAGTTGGGGAAAGTATCGGTTTCGGTGGGTATTTTGCGTGGTCTAGGCTCAGGAAAGAGTAATGTAGGCTGTTTTCATCGCGGAGATTAAGCAGGGCGACTGTGACAGCCGTGACAGCTCCGACATGAGGAGTCTGGGATAGACAACACGGAGTGGAAACTCCAGATCGAAATGGTTAGAGATCGTCGTGCGGGCCGAATTCCGTAACAGATCCCGTTAGAGCCACTGCAGGGCTGGGCCACTGGTGATTCTTCAGGTTGTAACTATCTGCAGGGTAGCATCAAATAGCCGGTATTCAGCCAGAATGGATATTCGGCTGCGGAATAATCTGGGGTAAAGCTTTAAGCTGTCGGCACATTTCTTGGCCATGTGAGCTTCTGGAGGATGCTCTCAGTCGTGACAACGGAGAGTTTCTGCATGATTAAACCGGCGAACAGAACAGCCATGGCAGGTACGGCCTGAACTCTGTCACGGCCTTTTGCTTGATGTAAAGTGGGAAATGGCTTGGAGGGGTGAAGAGGAACTTGAAGTTACGGCGTGGGTGGTCCACTGCGTGCTTGGACTTACTTGGTGGCCAGTAACGCTCTATAGCTTAACTCTCTTGTTCCTAGACCACGGCCTTACTTCTTTCATTATTGATAGGTCCCAAGTTCCATCTAATTCCATTTATCAGTATCCTCGTAATTATTCGTTAGAAAGATACAAGAAAAGAGAGCGAGTATTGAAGTTCAACGGCTGACGTTTTATTATGATGCTCAGTTGATATCATCTCAGGCAGAAGGTGGTGGGGTCTCTCTGTCCTTCTTAGTAGCGATAGCACTTGACACAGATAATTTGTGGCGGAGATGGATCCCATATCAAGCCCTTCTTGATGATGCGGACATACTTAAGACAGAAGAAATGGCTTATAGGTAAAATGTCAAAAGAAGAATGTCAATTTCAGAGCTGTTACTGTGCAAATCTAAGCTCCTATACTTACATACTTTTCTATGTATGCAGTTCTAGTTATTGTATTATTCGCTTTCTCCGATGCCACCATACAGAGTAAAAGCCATTACAGTTATCACAGTGCTTTGATAATCCGACAAGGAAGACCAGATCACAGTGAAATCAACGGCAACGCCAATTAGACTTACCTATCTAACGTCATACAGCCTTATCTCGTATCATACACCGCAAGTAAGGACAACGTCATCCCGGGCACATGGTCATGGTCTCCACCGACGCAATTAACAGTCATTTGCAGTTTCACCTAACCAATAAAACCTCTTGAATCTCCGAGATGTTAGAAGAATCGCGAAAATCCACTCTGCTCTCTTGGCCAATGGCGACGCGCCAGTCCAAAGTGTGGGACGCGACGAGGCTGACAGGGGGGTCCTTCCTAATCGAGCGAAAGTGATGCCTGAGGTCATTATTAGGACGTACTTAAACCTCTCACCAGAGAATTCTGTCATAGGCCTACTAATGGCACACGAAGGTTGATTAAGCGCAGACTTGGTTGTGTAATACAATACAAACCAACAGTCGGTACATCGACACCACACGAAGCATTCGATCTAGAGCTGTGCGCGAATTTCTGCAGCGGGGCCTAACGGGCTCTTGAACCCAGCAAACCCGTGAGCTTTTGTATTTTCCAGCTTGGCTCGGAACGCTTGCAAACCCCCAAAGTAGAATAGACTCGACGTTGCTTCTCCTGATACGTTCTCCCTAAACATCCAAGTGGATCGTTTGTCGTAAAGGAGCACCTTTGCTATCCGCTCGCACACCTCAGTCCATTCGCGCTGACCTTGTTCCGTGGCTTCAATCTCACATTGCTGCCCTGTGTGTCTGCTAATGTCCTGAGCTTGTCGGACCGCGTCCCTCAGAAAGCTCACTTGTATCTCCAGCAACGGAGGCACGTTTCCAAAAGCCACCCTCGGACCAAGCACTGTCAACAGGTTTGGGAATCCTGCAACTGAGCAGCCTAGATAGCAGTCCGGACCAGTACGCTTCCAGTGATCGTACAGTGTTTCGCCCTTCTTGCGCCCTTGAATGTCGATTTGAGCATAGCTTCTGTCCATAGCGTCAAAGCCAGTTGCGAATATTATTACGTCTAGCTCGTGGATTTTCCCGTCTGCGGTAGATATACCTTTTGCCGTGGCCTCGGTGATAGGGTGTTTCCTTATATCGATCGCATACAGATTCACCCGATTGAACTGGTCATAGTATCCAGCGTCTGACAACGGCCGTCGATTCCAGGCCTCCTTTGGGGTCAAAACAGCCCGCTTCTCGGGATCCTTCACGATCTCTGCAATTTTCCTGCGAAGGAACCGGCATACTTCTTCATTGGCCGCTGCGTCAGTGGCAAGATCTGAAAATCCTGCAAACATCATCTGGAGACCGTTTCCGTCCCTCCAGAGATGCTCTAAGATCTTCTCGCGCTCTTCCGGCGACACAGACATGAATGGTCTATCGTGCTCCGGAAAGCCCATTCCCAGGCGGGAAGACAAAAGGTCTGACCAGAACTGTGGGAACTTCTCATCGATCGATTTTTGTTCTTCGGAAGTCAACTGCTTATCGTTTGCCGGGATAGTATATTGTGGGGTACGGATGAACACATGAAGCGATTTCACCTTGCTAGCAATAGCAGTGACTACCTGTACCCCACTTGAGCCAACGCCTATGACACCAACACGTTTGTTTTCCACTCGAATGCTTGGATCCCACGCAGATGTATGCACTACCTGCCCCTTAAAGTCTTCTAGGCCGGGGATATGGGGCGTCTTGGGCTTGACCAGGACCCCAAGAGCCGTGAGGAGGTATCTCGCGCGATATATATCGCCAGTCTGGCATTGTATTCGCCACTCCTTCGCAGTATCATCCCATCTGGCCGCGACCATCTCCCTATTGAAATGGATGCGATTTCGTAGATTATGCTTCTCGACAACATGCTTCAGATACTTCAGGATCTCCGGCTGAGTAGAATATCTTCTCACAACCGGGTGGGACTGAAGCAGTTCTTCGTCGAACGCATAGCGATAAACATGACCCCAGCTGTCGCTGAGAGCACCAGGGTATCGATTTACATACCATGTGCCACCCACGTCACTTGCCTTCTCGATAGCCTGGACGGCCAAGCCTTCCTTGATGAGGGTGTACAGGGTATAAATGCCAGAGAAACCAGTCCCTACAACGAGGGCATCGAGGCAGTATTCATGGGGCATCTTGATGCTGCCAGGGGTACAATTTCGATGATTAATGGCTTCCTATCTTTTTGCAACTCGCTGGAGTTTACTGGGTAGTGCTCACCGTCCTTAGCCACCGATGTTGACATATGTGGCTACGCCAATAACCAGTCATCGCCTTTGCAGTGGCCGGCCTTATTGACACATCCTGGTTGTCGGCCATAAGACGTAACACGAGGATGACATCCCCAATACCACATTCAAGCGTGGAAGAACGGACTCCCCATAGTCTGTAGCTAATATAGAACTGCACGGGGTCTACGACTAGTCACAACGGGAAAAGAAAAGAAAGAAAAGAAAGGGCAGACAGTCACGCGATGTGAGGTTCAATGGCCGCGATCTTCTCATTCTCAACAAAACAATTCGACCATCTTTGCCGTCATAATAGCTTGCTTTGTAATTCTCACTGCGAGGTTTAGGCCGTTTGCGGGACATCAAAGTCAATTGTGCTGACGATTCTTCTGACACGGACGAATCCAGAACACACTTTAGGCCTCCAACCAAGCCCAACCTACCCCGCTCCTCTTGCGGCGATCCTTCATCAGCCGATCACTTAAGTTCTTACACCTCAGCAAAAGGATCTCGGTATGTCCGAATGCTTTCGACAAAGAATACACTTGCCACCATGCAGCCAGATACTCGTGTCCAGAATGGTCAACGATGCCTTTGCCGTAAGCTTATCCTCAAAACTCTCGGTATCATCCGCCTTCTGCTTATCTTCCGATTGGAACCGTCAAAGTATAACCGTGCTGTTGATGTCTTGGTTGCATTAAAAGCTTTATGGTTCCGTGCAGAAGTCTCAGCCTTATCCACGTTTACAACAGGGGAGACATCATTGAAGCTCTGCATCATCCGTGCCGCAATGAGGCCCATTTTGGAACATCACTATTCGGTCGGCGAGAAATATTTCCCTGGGAACCTGATGACCTTTAATATATATTCAAACTTGTCAAAGACTACAACACTCTCAACACTACCTTATATATCTGAAATAACATACATATACTTACATCAACAGTTTCTGTCTCTTTAAATATATATATTATCTACTATTTAATCCCTTAGTGACATATAATCTCATCATATATATATATCCACCACGGTAAGTACGACTACACGATCAGGTAAGTAATGTACCCCTCCCTCCCAAATCATCCCAGCTACTCCTCCTACTATCTTTTGGTCTAATACTACCAATGCATCTCACCACCGCATCCTCCCCTCACCCCTCACCCCTCCCCCCTTCTCCGGACACTTAACAATCACCAATTCTCAACTACTCTCATCCACACGCAGCGCACTGGTCCGAATACGCTATCCAGATCGCGAAGCAACATGATTACGAGCCGCGGTCTGCGCATCGGTACAAGAATCAGGATGTGTATGTGGATGATCCTGTAATTCGCTTTGACGAGGTCTTTGATGGGGAGGAGAGTAATCAGACGGATCTGGTGGTTTAGGTTGATTTGGGTTGCGGTTGGTGCCTGCTACTTATCTTATGGGGGGAGCAGAGTCGGAGGACGATTAATATGATTAGGGTTGGGTAGAAGGATGGGGATGGGATGGGGATGGGGATGGGGGTTGTGGTGAGGCCAGTAGAGGAGGTGCTTTGGAGGTGTGTGTGTGTGTGTGTGTGTTGGGGGGGGGTGGGTTTGATGGGGGATGATCAGTTTTATGATGGGTTTCGGAGGTGGTTTATGGAGATAGTGGTATTGGTTTAGAAAATGGATGGGTGTATCATCACATATATCTCCCCCCATCCACAGTAATCACCTGCCCCGTCATATAGCTCGACTCCTTCCCCAACAAGAACCCAACCGCATCAGCTATCTCCTCTGGCCTAGCACACCTCTTGCCCAATGGCACCTGGCTCTCGTATTGCTCCTGAAAATCCTTCTCCATGATGCCCTGTAATAAGGGCGTATCCGTACCCCCCGGCGCCACGCCGTTTACTCTCACCCCCTGGGCCGCGAAATTCGTCGCCCATGCTCTCGTCATGCCCAGCACGGCATGCTTGCTCACCGTGTATGACACATACCCCAGATTTCCGCGGAAGGATGCGATGGAGCATAGATTCACAATCACCCCCCTTCCTTCTTTGGCTGCCGCCGGGTTAGGCTGCTCATCGGCCTCTCTCGAGAGGATGTGCGAGAGGTATGCATTTCCAACATTCCATACGCCGCGGACATTGACGTCCATGACTCGGTCGAAGAGCTCATCCGATTCTAATCCTGTAACGACAGGCTGGTAGGCAATTCCGGCGTTATTGATCAGGCCGTGGATTGTCGGGGTGATGGTTCGGATTTGTGTGAAAACATTTCGGACGATAGAGCCGGAGGTGACGTCCGTATTAGGGTAGAAATGCAGGTTTTTGTGAGGGAGGTGGGAGGGGACTTGTGGTGGGGTGGAGGAGATGTCGAGAACGTGGACGATGGCGGATCGTGCGAGGAGGTAGTGGAGGATAGCGAGGCCGATGCCTGAGCAGCCGCCGGTTACGACGTAGGCTTTGCCTGAATGGTAGTCTGTAGTGAGGGTCATGGTCTTAAAGGCTTTCTTGTTTCGAGGTTCTAGGTAGAACGACGAGTCGAGAGTAGGCTGCCTATGAGGGGCTGTCTGGTACTTTTGAATGATAGTAGACTGTATGCAACTGGCTATTGATAGAGGGCAGGCAATGCAGTGTAGACTTCACTCTACATCTAAGGGGGTGGACATTCATGTGGCTTGCCGCCCACATTGGGGTTTGTGCATCGAAGACGAATTGTACATCATGCGAACAGCATGGAGTGTAGATTTACCCACCTATCAGCAGCCTCATCCGAGCAGGGATGTTGCTTGAACTGTGGAAACCGTACCCCGTCACAGTGTCTGATTGGCCATTCAAATCTCTGATTTGAGTTTTGTGTCACTGTCAGCTGGGTGATGAGCTTGTTCTAGGGACGCTAGTATGGACTATCAACCCAGTGCATCTCATGCTGCATGGTATCGTTCACAGCTGAGTCGATCACACACCCTTGTTTAGCCTGTTGCAGCGAGCGACTGACGTCATACTTATTGGGAAGTGAACCCCTTCATGTGTAGTTTGACGTATCATTAGCGCCCTATCTCAATCATCCCCTGGGCTCGTCGGTCTTGGATATGTATGTAGTCGCTTTCGCCAACTTTCAGCTTCCCCTCACTGCAAATGTTTGCTGGTCTGCAGCTGAACATCTCCTACAGTAACTGTCACACTAGGAGGAGCAAGGGGCCTTTCTGCCTTCACAAAAGAGCTCGCACAATCTCAAGCACTTCACCTATGGGCCTGTCACTTTCGCACATATCACGGTAGTTCAGTGGATTTTTCATCATCCTGGGGCTGGCTCCAAGGGTCCGTTTCCAATGTTTACGGGCTAGACTGTGTGAGCATCGATCGTTTGCAACCCCGAAGCTTAGCAGAGCTCAGTGAGAATATTTAATTCAGCATCACTAGTCAAGCCACCGTCTCTGAGTGCTCAGGTCTGTCTGAGAAAATCGTTGCCATTGCCTAGGCAATCCTTTCCACCTAACCTCGCCAACGTATAAAACGCTTTTGCGAGCCTGTATCCCGGTGCCAACGGTATAAGCTCGTATCGAGGATCGGACTTTTGTAATATAAGTTCACACAGTTCGCGGGTTGCTGCTTATCAGTTACATTTCGGCATGCGAAGAGGGCTCGAATACGTAGGACCTGTTCCTAAGTAGCTTAGACTATCCGTAATCTCTGGGATTAGCAAATCTCTGTGAATATGCTTGTTGGTCACTGGTCAACATGCAGCCCCTAGTGTGCAATCATTCGTGGTGCTTACACCGCTCCTCCGAAAGAATGTGGGGACCGGTGAGTAAATGCACGAGAAGATATGAACTGAGGGCAAACTTCTGTGGCTATTTCTTGAGCTTTAGCCTGACGAGAACATTCCTAGTGCCACGCGAAGCTAAGATATTTCGGCTAGTTAACCATCAACTGCAACCATCAGTGAAGCAGGCTCAACGGATCAAGTCAGCCTCCCAATTAAGCGAAGCCATGCATGTTCGCAAGTCAAACAAACCCCTCCGAGCGTAAAATTCTTCAGTGCTAAAGAAGCTAACCCGCTGGGAGAAAAAACAACCCCCATTGTCCGTGCCCATCATATCCCTTGCGGTATTCTGCGTGTCACTCCAGTGATGACTTAACAGCGCTGCACGTAATAAGAAACGGCATTAGAGAATCTAACCTGCGGCCGAAAGCACATACATCCATACCGAAGGACGGAAGATGTGTCTCATCGTACCCACGGATCGCGCGTGCGGCCTTCAAACTAGCTTTCCACAATTCCACAAGGTCGGGCCTGTCATTTTCCTTTGGAAGATATTTCCGAACCACGGTTCTAGCCCCTGGCTCAAAAAAGGGATCGATCTAGTTACCATAAAACACACCCGGCTGCGATCGAACCAGCACCGGCTTGCGAGATGGATAATGTCGCTCGAAGGAACTAATTTCCGGTCTTTTCCGGGCCTTGGCCGAGGGGTATCCACAAAGGAGAACTTGCTAGATCGGCATCTAGAGTAGGTTTTTCTGACGGGATGTAGATAGTCTAGTGTCTTGGAGAGTTTGTTAGCGTGTTTTAGTGAGGAGGGTCAAGCCGTGGAACGGGGTTCTATTACTATCTGGTTCGTAGGGGTTGAGAAGAGATGAAGCGAGGCTTACCAGGGTTCATGTTTGCCGGGCACTGCTGGTTTGGATGGGTTAGTGTGTGAGGTAAGTACTTTGGTTCACTCTTGTTAGTGTGTATTAAGTGCTGGATAGATGCAGGTAGTGTCTAGCGAATGCAATTGTCGGGTGTGAATGGAGGTATGTCTGGGCATTTCGTCCAGCTGATGGATACCGCTGAGGCATCCATGCCATCATCGTGCACTGATTGGATGATTACAACCGTGTCTGGGCTTTTCTGTTGCTTCCTGTATGATGAGCCGTTGACTGACTGAGAGGCCATTGAACCATTTGGCATGTCCAACTGATTGCAATCAATCTCATCCTCAACGAATCGATTATGATAGCTGATTCACGGTCCGTGATGAAAAGACAAACAGATAATAAGCTTACAATCAAGAAGTGAGAAGCAGACAAGCTCAGCCAGGTGGCATTGATAGACATCCAGAGGGAGCCAGAGTCAAAAAGGAAAGTTCAATCCGTGCGCCTCGTCACGAGATCCCTCGGAGTGCCTGAGGTTCCATCTAACTCGGACGACAGGATGAGATGTTGGATTGGATCTCGTACTTCAGTTTCCTCTACGCTCGTGATCTACATTACTACGAGTCATCATCTACTACTAGCTCTGTCCTCACATCCGCACAGAAAGAACACACAAAGGTATACGCTACTATGTACTGCATAACGTCGACCAGGCAAGTCCGGCCCCAGTCCCACCGTCCTACTTCCTGTCATCATCCCCGCGAACAATATCACCGCGATAAGGGGGACTAAGAAAGTGTCTGCCTTGACAGGATGAGGTCTTTTCCGCACGTCCGGTCACCTTGGCGCATACGTCACAACGGTCATGCAGTTGAACCCAGGGTTCAACTTCAACCGTATATCCGATGGACGAGAGACAATAGACAGGGGGGTCAAGGGCATGAGGATACAGGAACAGACCAATTAAGCATCACATCCTTCCCCGAAGGGTATATCCGTGGAGGGTCCGTAGCCACGTGCTGGTTTGAACTGGAACAATCGTTTCGGCCGGATCCTTCAAAGGAAGATGATCATACGGTATGCCTGTCCGGAGTCGACCATACCCATTTACTGTGTCTCCTAGACTATTACTGCGCCCGACCCCACGCCAGCTAGCCAGCCAGCCAGCCATCCAAAATCCTGGCTGCAACCGCAGCGCGCGTTATACCGCTCAGGGGATTAGGATGGCCGTTACCAATCTGCTATCCGTGCACGTTCATTCCTAAACGTCCGACTCGGCAAGACATGGGCTCTAACCGCTCTGGATTCGAATCCCTGCCCTAGATTGTATGATCACTTTCGTGTGTCTCACGGGATGGCTGGCTGGCTGGATGGCTGCTGGTGGTGGTGGACTGACGCGACACCCCTCCTCCCTCAAGTGCGACAACTGCCGGGAGTAAGTAAGTAGTGTTGGATATGGAATAGGACAAAGACAAAAGGAAATAACCGCGAAGCTACTCCCAACTGTTACGGCGCCCGGCAGGAAGAGGGAAGACAACACCAGGAAGGAAAAAGGATCACGACCAATGTTTCTGAAGGGGGAAAATTGGCGGGGGGGGGAAAGAAGTCGAGAACGACAAGATCATCTAATCAAACTCTAAAAGAAAAAATAGGTATTGTTTAATTATTGTTATTATTATTACAGAACATTCGGAACCGAACTGAAATGGTCTTCCAACCCAAACCGACGAACTGCCAATTCCGGGAGGAATGTTCGGGCGATCGTGGTCTTCGGCCGAAGCGGTCATTCTTCGGCCGGGCATGGAAGCTGCCTGATCCGCGAGTCAAGTTCGTCGTCAACCAAACCTAAGACGCAGCAGCCCATCTTCATTCATCGCTATCCACGCCTGCCGCGAAGGGGAGGAGGTGGGCGCTTCTCACGCCCGGTCCGCCCATCCTCTCCGCTACAAATACCCGCCCGCTGCCTGGCCTGGCCTCGCCTCGCCCTCAACCCATCGGTAGCCTCCCCTCACCACCCTGGGGGTTGGATGAACAACTCCCCCCTCGCCCCACGCACCTCCTTCTTGCTGGGTCTGAAGAATCGGTGCATCCTGCCCGAGTCTTCAACCTCTTCACACCGCTAGTTTTGTTTTCAAGGGGGAAGATAGGGGGGAAGCTTGACGACGGTGGCATTATATGGCCATCGAGGCTCACCCAAGGGCACACACTGTAATATATGCGGCATGACTGACGCGGTTGTTCAGCAGAGGAGTCGGTTGGTCCGACTTCTCTCAGCCGCCTCACTTGTGTAGGTGTACTCTCTACGGGGCTCTTCATGCGCCCAACGGCGGGTTGATAGGGGAACGGGGTGGGTGAGCCCGTGCGCCCGCGTCCGTTGGGGCCGTCGCACAAATTCACTAACTATCATGTTTTTTTCTGGATGACTGCGGCCCGGTTAATGGGTCAAGCATTTCCCGAACTCATGCTGGGAAATAGCATTACATCCGAAACCTGGTTAAGAATGTTGTCAATATGCCCGTCGGGCGAAACGCTCTGGTCAGAGGAGTACGTCGGCATCCCCGATCCCAGGGTGGAGGATGGCGACGCAAACGAGGTGGCAGGGGAAGTGTTCTGCATGTTAGGTACCACCTTCGGCACCACCCGGTGACGCAGTTTGCGCGCACGGAAGGCGGCACTGACCTCCCGGAGAGCGTGAAGGGAAGATGCAAGATGCTTTGCAGAGTCCGTCTTGCTGTTGTGGTCGCTGCTCTCATCGCCATGAACATGGTCTGACAGCACCGCTTCCAATTTCTGGATCAAGTCCCACGTCTGCGGATGCAACTGATCATTGTTATTCGCTACCAAAAGAAAAGCTGACGCGATAGTTCGTTGCAGGCTGATCCAGGTTCGCGAAGCATGGGAATTGATGGAATGCAGCTCGATGAAGGCCTCGATCGTGTTTATCAAATTCGTCAAGCAATCCTCCCGAACAACTTCGCGCCGCTGTTCATCCATCGGAGTATCCGGATCCAACGAAACTCGGCACATGAGAGATATGAACCACGAGGAATGCAGTCTCAGTTCGGTTCTTTCGATATGCTCCCCTAGCGTGGCACAGCGTTCGCGAGATTTCAGATGCGGTGCAGCCTCGGCAATGATTCGTTCAATGCGTTGCTTATACTCCCGGATTTCGTGGTACCGCAGGTGGGTATGATGGGTGAACATCAGCCCTCGCAGCATATCGAGGACCACCTGAATCAGGCGGCAAAGTGTTTCGAAATACCCTCGGTGGCCAGGCATCGATTTCGGATCGTACGGGATCTCCGGCTGATTGATCATGGTAATGGACGGTCGGTCATACGCCAAGGAAAAATGACTGTTCTGAAAGGCCATCGCCCACCTGGTTGCATTGCGCATTAGTCTCCGAAAATACCGCCGTCACCTTCAGAAATCTCGGGAATGCCCCTTACCATACTCTTCTCCGCGCCGCTTGCGTGGCTCGTGGAAACCCCGAGGTCTCGACATGAAGGCCCAGCACCATACACATACGCTCCGTCATTCCTTTCAGTCGAACAGTTAGCTTTGAGCTGCTGCCTTGGTGCGTCCGAATGGTACTCACCCAGCAATGTGTAAGATGCGCCTGCATTCATATTGTACGACAAGACACTGCCGATGATCAAGAGGATCTGGATCACCTCCAGGGATGGCTGAGACACATAGTTCAACATGCGCAAACAATGGTAAGAACAGGACACTAAGGCTGGTAAGTCTGGAGTGAATAGGGGCTAGTATGGGGGAGGTGTCGACCAACCGTATACCCACGAGGTCAACTCTCGTTCTTTCCCCGGCAGATCAGATAGTTGAGAGCCAGACGCTAAAATGGCGAATAGAAGGCTGAGAAAAGAGACACTCATGCCAAACGGCTTCACTAGGCCATTAGCATCTGGATTATATACGCCACCCGCGGCCTGTCGGCCCTGCAACAGCTTGTCCATGTCCCGTTCAAACTTGTCGAGATCGGGCAATACGGGATACAGCACCGCACCAATATTTCGATAAAAAGCTAGAAATTTTCGACACTGCTCATCGTCTGGCAGCACACTGCACACGCCAGAAATATTGAACGTATATGGATCGGACGACCAAAGATCAACGAAGGGGTAGGCGGCCGACTCGTTCCCCATCGCCAGCTCGGTAAGAAGGTCATCTTTGGGTAGCGCCTGCGCGGTGTCCTCCGAAACCTTCGATTTGTCCAGAATGTCCACCAGAGCAGATCTCGATCCGATGTGAACCGAATTTGTTCTCAGCGTAGTTGACCCATAGATGCCCTCGGAGGCAGGCGAGTGGTCTTCCTCCTCCTGCTCCTGCGAAAGTTCCGATCGGGAGTGGACGGCCTTCCGCGCGCCGTGCGCCTGGAACAGGGAGCCCAAACTGGTCAGAATCTGTTCCATGGTCTGCATCTTGGAGTTGATCTCGTCCCATTCCTCTTGCGACAGCGTCACCATCTCCGATAGACCATCCTGGTTGGCAGAGCTTGCCGACTCTGGACCGGCACCGTAGGGAGGGTCGCGATGGGCGGCCGGCTGATAAGCCGCGGAAGGCATGTATTGAGGCGTATTAGTGGCGGGAGTCGTAGCGGACGAGCCATACTGGTCGGCGATGAAGGAGGCCGGTCTGGGAGCGGTGGGTGGAGGACGACCGTAGGAGCAGGTGAAGTTGCGCTTGACGCAATTGCCGCATGGAACATTGCGATCGCAGCGGACCTTGCTGGCACGGCAGGGCAGGCAAGTTTTACACTCGCGCGGCCGGCGACGGATAGGATACGTAGGCATTGCTTGCGGTGGTCTTTGCAGACGTTTGCTTGGTCCCCGCTATTTGGGAGGGGGATCTCGGGGATTGATGTGCGTGACGGAAGGGAAGGGATAGACAAAACGTCTGTCTGTGCAACCAGACGATCATACACGCGCGCTTAAATTCCGAAAACGGGGCTCTAGTAATCATGCAGGCGTGAGTCAAGATCTGATACATTGGGCGAAGGTGTTCAAAAACAATAATAATAATAAAATAAAAAAAAATGAGTAAAGAGATAGACGACACGTGCAAATTGGAGAGGAAAGCTGTGAGCGAATGGGAATAGAGTTGAAAGGGCCGAGACGTCAGCAACCCAGCGCGACGGAGACAGGCGTGTTAGGACTGGGCAGAGGAGCAGGACACGCAAAATTCCTCGATGGGCCGCCGGGGAGTGGGAAAGAGTGGGAAAGCCAGACGGAGGAAAGAGAGAAAAGGAAGAGAGGGGGGCAAAGAGACACACACCGATCAATGGGTCCGACCCCTGCTGCTTGTAGGATTTTGAATCACCATGATAATTAATAGCAGAAGTCTCGAGCAGGAATATAGCGTGGTTGTGGTTCGGGCAAGTGAAGCCGACAGAAGAGGTTATGATGAGGAGTGACAGTTGTGCAAGTAATGATAGTAAGTAGTACCAACAAAAAGATGGAGACAAGATGGTCGAGAGATAGACGATCCTCCGATCAATGCATGAGCCGATCCTTTGGCCGGGGAGCAGCAGCAGCAGCAGCAACAGCAACAGCAACAGCAAGCAGCTTTGGGGTGGTGACTGACTTTTGGAGGGGATCCAATTCGGCTCTTCTCTCAGCTCTCTTCCCTTCCTTTCCCTCTCACTCTCTCTCTCTCTCTCTCGGGTCTTCTTCTGGTGCCTCTCTGACTCGCCCGGTTAGTCAGGCAGACATCGGCACGAGAGGGACGAAGAAACAGGCATAACCAACCAACGAACCAAACCCCAAGGCCCGCTGAGGAACTCTTCCGCGCAGTGGAAATGGAACCTTGAACTCCCGAGATGGCGTGTTGTCTCGTCTCGTCTCTTCTTTCCCCTCCATCCGTTTCTCAACAAGTTCCAATTGGGAAACGGGGGAGTGCGTGCAGTGAACATTATACTATAAATTGTCGGTAGATCTTATCATGCCTGCCTCCCCCTCCAATTGTTGAGTTCCGATCGGGAAGTCCTTTTTGCAAGCTTCCCTTCATTCCTTCCCTTTGTTCTTTTTTTGTCTGTCTGTTGTTCCGCAAATCCGCATGGACCAGCCAGCCGTGAATCATTCCCGCTCGGCAATTTCCCACCCAATGATTAATCGCCCATTGGTGTTCATCTGAAGTGAGTCGTTCCGTTCTTCATCAATCCTGCCCTGCCATTCCTTCCCGGCTGTGTCCATCATTCCATCCATCCAGAGTCTCGGGTCCGAGTGAGGTCATCGACGCACGCCCTGGTTAGTTAGTAGTTATTAGACGTCACTCTGTCCGCTCCCCACTTGTTAATCTAGTGCACTAGATAGCACTGGATATGGTAGTTAGTAGTGTACGGAGTAGTGTAGTCACTTTTTGTTATAGTCGTCTAGAATACTTCCTACCTCATAGCGAGCTACTATGAGCTAGCACTCAACCAACCACTCCATAAGCGACGTCCCGTTTGGTAAAAGATTCGGAAATGTCTCCGACTCTGATCCATAGGTTTTGGAGATGGTGTGATGATGGATGTCAAGCCCGGAATAGAGAGGCTGGTTGACGCTGCAGTGAGAGATGGTTAGACTAAGGAGAAGCTTGGATGACTGACTACACCTGGCAGTTTGACAGGTCGGCGTCAGCTGACTGGGTAAGTAAAGTAAGTGTAAGTATGAAAGGAAGGGATAGATTGATGGGGAGTAAGTATTAGTATGGCCTGATCTGCTTTGTACATCCTTCTTACTGCATTCCCTGCCGAAGCGAGCTGGTGGTGGGGAGCTGAATAGACACCACTAGGATCGCTCCTTTCTTAGCTGATACTACTAAGCTATCGATTTATGTATCAATTAAGTTAACGACATCGATCTGCTGAACTGATGATGTCTGTGTGTCTCTCCATTTCCCTTTTTGTCGCTCCAGGTCTGGTACAAGGTTGCAACTAAGGCATCATCAATGTGATCGGTATATTTGGTATATCTTATAGTATACATGACTTCATGATGCATCGGGCATTTCCCCACATCAGCTGCCTAGGGGGTTCACTAAGTATTCTAGATAACATTTGGGGACGGTCGGCTCTCGTAGACAGCTTCATAGCACCAATCAGCGTCTCGTCCCCGCCACCCGATGTGTCTACTTCGCGCCGGTCGTCTTCGTTTCCAGCCTACGGGGAGAAGAACGTACGCGACCCCGAAGGGACCCCCTCGCGTGGTTCGGTCGCCGTCAGGATCGCGGCGGGAAGGGGCAAGGATCCTGTTTACTTGACACGACTCGCGCCCGCCTGGCAAGTACCGGTCGCCGTAGAGAGATGACACCCTTCATATCTTCTTTAAGAGGCTACTGTCGTTTGGGAGATCTGCGGGACTATCCACCAGTCATGCCAACGGGCCTTGTTCCCAACCTCGGGAATGGTCACCCGAAGGTTCACCGATGGGCTGTTGGCCGCTTCATCGGATGGTTCCTGCTGCGTGCGCTTCTCCAACGCTTCCTTGACCGTTCCGATTGCAATACTGGCGCCTATGCAAGCGCGCTTCGTGTCTTTGATGTCGCGCTTCCAGTCCTCTTCAATGGCCGGTGCGGGGCTCTCATCCTCGTCCGAATCCCGGATAAAGGCCCCGTTCGCTAGCGTGGCTTCCCACGCTTTCCGGGCTTCCGAGATCGCCTTAGTGGCACGCTCGAGCACGATCTCGTCACTGTCCCCTTCGAGCACCGCTTCCCGGCGGTACTCATCGTACGGTACTAATTCTGGCAGGGTAATTGAAAGGAAGGGTTTCATACGGAGTTCGTAGCGCAACCGGTCACTAGAGTACGCTTGGGGTGAAGAGGCGGCGGGGAGGACACGATGGCGAGCGAGGAGCACGTACAAGGCGTGCAGGGAAATCGCAAACGCGTCAATCGCAACAATTTGCGTCGTGAGTCGTTCGAGCAGCTTCAGCGACTTCTGCAGGGCGGCGTGGCGCTCAAGAGCGTCGCGCTTCTTGGCGGCCACATCCGGAAGGTTTCGTTTGGCCGTGGCAACAGTGAACGTGCGGATACGATCGATATGACCGAGATGGGTAGAGCAGATGTGGGACAGGTACCAGTACATCCCCGGTAGTTCTTCCGGTGCATAGATCGAAAGCTCGAACCCGAGCTGAAGGATGAGACGGAATTGAACCAGTTTCTGATGGTAGGCCCAGCTGCTAAGAGGGTATGAATAAGTTGCGTCGCCGTTGGCGAGCATCAGCGGGGGTTCTTTGCTGAGAGTACGGAGTTGCTCATCCAAATCTTCCGCCTACTGAGGATTAGACCTACCCATGCTGACGAGAATATCTGATACTTACCTCCATTTGCAGGTTATCCCAATCAACAACGGTATGGCAAACAGTACGGCGGATGCGGCAGCGATTCAGGCAGGAACTACGAAACGTGTCCACGAAAGGCTGCATGGCAAATTAGCCGGGTCAGGCCTCTGATAGAACGCTATACACAGGAAGAGAGAATAAGATGTGCATACCTGGGAGAAACGGTGCACGAATGCGTCCATTTGCTTAGCAATTTGAAAGCGGGGGTCTGAAGGCACCTCAATGTCGTCCATGTTGGCTTGAAGAAGTATACTTGACGGTAGTACAAGCTCCGCAAGCTCATCGTACAGAAATTGTTTAACCGGAACGGTTCCGAGTATCGTCATGTTGTTCAGGATCATTGTCTGAACCAGCGATCGGATATATACTGATGGCTGAGGCTTCCGTGACAGCAAGGTCCAGACAGTTATCTGGGTCTGTTAGTGAGACACTGCTGCGCCGACAAAGATGCATGGCTACCTACCTTGAAATTGTAGGGACCGCGGTAATCAATGACTTCTTGGAGATCAATCGCGTCTTGACATAGTCGTCTCAGATGCGCCAGCGCATCGTCAAAATTGATATTCACCAATGGTCGTGGAGGCACAGTGCTGGCCAGCTTTCTTTGGATCTTCCAACTGAAGGAATCAGGTACTTGGGCTCCAAGGGTAGTCGACTTGGCCATGTCGTCCAATTGAGACAGACAAGCCAGAAATGGCTCCTTTGACCTCGTCTCGATCACGTTGATATCTTGTTCCATACCCTTCAAAAAATCACGTCGGAAGAGCAATCTTATTTTGATGGCCTGCTGCAATTTCTCATCTAATTTGCCCTTTTGTTCGTCAACCCAATAAATCGCTTGATCAAGGAGGCTGTAGAATAATTCCGGTTCGAATTGCGACAGCAGAGTGCGATTATAAAGCTGGGTGACAAAGTCCTCTTCCTATGATGGAGGATTGTTGTTAACTGGGGAGCGAGCGGAATACAGTAAGCCAGAACCAACCTCGAAATAGTATTCGGTGGCTACCCGTGCATGCACAAAGTCGCAGCATTTGAGGAGCGCAAGACAATAAGCACGCAGTACCAGATGCACGATTGAAGCTGGCTTGTCATTACTTGTGGAACGCCCGCGAAAGAAGGTGGCATCGTCGAGCGACTTGGGGACCGGCCACAAGAGCTTATCAAGGTACAGGGATGTGAAGAGGGTTTGGGAAAGGGGGTGGCCCATATGCCATGCCATCTATCGCAGCAAACCAGTTAGCGACGGTCAGATATAGAGTCAAGTATTCAAGTGTGAATACCTCTACCTACCTCATGACACAGCAATCCATCCATAATACCAAGAACCTCCTCTGGACCAAGCTCCCGCGTCACATCGTAGTCGTCATCCAAAGCCTGCGCATGATTTTCACCGGGGCCTAGATATCCACTGTCCATTTTGGAGTCCATAATCTATAAGATCCGGGAAATATCAGCTTCTGGTTCGATCTAATCGGCCGGGTGTCTGTCAAAAGCATATTGAGTCGCAACCGACCTCCAGCGCCCCAACTGCTTCGAAAAGTGTGAAGTATTCATCTTTGACAAGCTGGCCAGTTTTCAGTTCTAGGTTTGAGGTAGAAATGCAGTCAGCGAGAAGTTCACTTGAGACTGTGGAATAATACAAGGGCGGGCAGCAAAGTGGAAGTCGCTCACTTGAGGCAGCTGATGTAAATTCATCGGTGATGTCGCGCGGGACTACCGACTGGGTGACAACCCGCATTGTCGAAACAGGGATTGTGTCGTTAGGCAGCATGTGAAACCACGATCATTTGCAGCCAGCTGCCAGATTGTCTGGGTCGTCTAAATAGGAGGATTGCTCCAACGGGGAAGGGGAATGGGAATGAAGCAGACCGAGAGCGGGCGAGGGGAGGGCGGGGAGTCGGGCGGACAGGGCAAAACTTGCGGGAACACAAGCCGCACGCGCTCAAGCAGAGCCGTCGAGTTCAGGAACCCATGCTCTCGCAGGCACAAGAACTACATTGTGAATAAGCGGGCCTGCTATCCAGCTAGAGAAGAGCGGCAGGAAGAAATAGTTCTTTTCTATTTAGACCTGATCAAAGGGGCCAATATGCTACAGAGATCTATCCCATTCCTGCCCATGGCTTCCACCCGAGACCTCAAACATCCTTCATCCAGAATACATCTTCCGGACTTCTTTCACACACTTTCGGGACGGGGTATTTATTTCGACTCGGCCTGAGCAGCAAGAGCCTCATCGTTGGCCTTGGCGAGGGACTTGACTTCACCCTGCTTGCCGTTCTATATCCGGAACCCGATGGTCAGTCCAAACCGTCCTCATCCATTGCACTTGGCGAAGGGTATGTCAGGAGTTTATATACGAACCTCCCACTTGGCGAAACGCAAGTCCATGTTTCCGCGGCGCTCAGCAGCAGCACGGGGACCGTCCTTGAGAGACCTGCGGACCGCGCGAGCGGCAACGGTCAAGTAGCGGTTGTAGCTGTAAAAGTCAACCAAGACGTCAGTCAGAGGTCCAGAGCAAGCAAAACAATCAAGAGCAGGAGAATATCATACGTGAGACCAGCAGCTTTCCAAGCGAATGCCATTTTGACGGTGAGGGTTAGATGAGGGGATTCTGTTCAGGAGAAGGAACACTTGCTTGGGGACGCTTTGCAGACGGTCGAGTTCGGAGGTTCGGGAAGGTCGGGTCATGTGACACACGTGACTGACACGTCTCGACGGAACTTCCCCATATCTCCGGTTTAGATCTTATATTCTACTGTGTTTCACCAGCAAGATTGATTGGCCAAAAGCAGACACTATCAACTTGACTGTGTCTTTTCAGTACTCAGCTCAATTAGTTACCTCCTGAAAGTAGTACAGATATTCCATCATCTGAAATGAATACCTGGAGTTATACTCGGTTCTAAGGACAGAAAGCGAGAGAGACGGAGAGGAGGCAATCGGTTGTTTTTGTGCAATATCAGATGGATACTAGTGAAGCTATCCACTTTGGTATTGATCACTCAGTATACTCTCGACAGAGATAGCAGTTTTCGGACTCGCAAGTGAAACCCAATCAGATTGGTTCTGAGCCATATGTGAACAACCCATTTACTGGATATTCAGGAGCAACATTGCAGAATCACATATTCCTAGTGATTATTTCTTGCGGTCAAACACAATGGTTCAGACCCCGAATTAATAAGGATCAAGTGCTCGGGCTCCTTCAGTATTGAGTCGCATTTTCTCAAGCTGATTAATGGTCAAGGAGTAGATACAAGGCAAAGGCACGGCATATGCATGCAGCAGAAGCGTCAATACAGCTTATCAGCTGGTAGAAATCTTCAAAACCATATCTTTTCTATATCCAGCATGACCTCTGTAACTAATATGTTATTGCTAAAGCCAGTTCCATGAATAGGAAAATGCAAAGATGGTTAAAAGTTTACAAAAGTTATATACAGTTTTAAATTAGTTACTGCGTAGTCATAATGTGGTTATATAACTCTTATAGGTGAATGTCCTGATCACTGACTTTTCATGGATTACTAACTCTTATTTAAAATTTATATATCAGTTTCATGTAACTACTACTGACTAGTACTAGGCGCTAGTAGTACAGCTCATGGATGGGAGAGTCGGTGAGAGAACTAACCAACAACAACAGTAGAATGATGAAAATAGTTGTCTCTCTCTACATGAACTTCCATGCTTCTCAATTATACGGCGACAAGTAGTAGAGCATAACAGCATAGACCTGATATCACAGTTCTATTCTGATAAAGATACCCTCTGGATTTATAAACGCGTCCGGAGCACGTTATTCTATACCATTGAAGCTTTAGTTTGGCTATTTCATATCCGGCAATGGTTGCCTCTTCCGACGACCCGAGGCGATTCCCTCGGATAGCCGGCCCCACGTGACCTTCTAGGAGCTTCTGCCGCCAAGACAATCCGGGGATCGAGAATCGCCTGGAAAATTTTCGAGACTTTGGCTTCATCTCCATCTTCATCTCCATCTCTTCCTCCATCCATTCTTCTTCTCCTTCTTCTCCCTTGACACCCGTTCTTGCTCTGGGAGTTCTGGTCGGGTTACCCTCGATCTAATTGTATTCTATTGTCCTCTCTTCCCTTGTTTCCGTCTTGTTTTTCATAACATCCCTTCAAGATGCAACGCGCTCTCTCTTCCAGGACTTCCGTCCTGTCCGCCGCTGCCAAGCGTGCTTCTTTCCAGAGATCCCCCGTCAGCCTGCAGCAGCAGCGTTTTGCTCACAAGGTATGTCTCTTAGCTTTTGCATTGAGCTGCTTTGCTGGAGTTCTCGATGGCACTGTCTCGAAGCTTGCTCACACCTTTCTAGGAGCTCAAGTTCGGCGTTGAGGCTCGTGCCCAGCTCCTCAAGGGTGTCGACACTCTTGCCAAGGCCGTCACTTCTACTCTTGGACCCAAGGGTCGCAATGTCCTGATCGAGTCCCCCTACGGTTCCCCCAAGATCACCAAGGGTATGTCCTCTCCACGATCGTATTAATAATACGGAGCTTTGCGGATCGGTCGTACTGACGGTAACAGACGGTGTTAGCGTTGCCAAGGCCATTCAGCTCCAGGACAAGTTCGAGAACCTCGGTGCTCGTCTTCTCCAGGATGTCGCTTCCAAGACCAACGAACTTGCTGGTGACGGTACCACCACTGCCACCGTCCTTGCCCGTGCCATCTTCTCCGAGACCGTGAAGAACGTTGCCGCTGGCTGCAACCCCATGGACCTCCGTCGTGGTATCCAGGCTGCCGTTGACGCTGTTGTCGACTACCTCCAGCAGAACAAGCGTGACATCACCACCGGTGAGGAGATCGCCCAGGTCGCTACCATCTCCGCCAACGGCGACACCCACGTTGGTAAGCTCATCTCCACCGCCATGGAGAGAGTTGGCAAGGAGGGTGTTATCACCGTCAAGGAGGGCAAGACCCTCGAGGATGAGCTTGAGGTTACCGAGGGTATGCGCTTCGACCGTGGATACACTTCCCCCTACTTCATCACCGACGCCAAGTCCCAGAAGGTTGAATTCGAGAAGCCCCTGATCCTGCTTTCTGAGAAGAAGATCTCCGCCGTTCAGGACATCATCCCTGCCCTTGAGGCCTCCACCACCCTCCGTCGTCCCCTTGTCATCATTGCTGAGGACATTGAGGGTGAGGCTCTCGCCGTCTGCATCCTGAACAAGCTCCGTGGCCAGCTCCAGGTTGCCGCTGTCAAGGCCCCTGGCTTCGGTGACAACCGCAAGAGCATCCTTGGTGATCTTGCCGTTCTCACCAACGGTACTGTCTTCAGCGATGAGCTTGACATCAAGCTCGAGAAGCTTACCCCCGACATGCTCGGTTCCACCGGTGCCATCACCATCACCAAGGAGGACACCATCATCCTCAACGGTGAGGGCAGCAAGGACAGCATCTCTCAGCGCTGCGAGCAGATCCGTGGTGTCATGGCTGACCCCACCACCTCCGAGTACGAGAAGGAGAAGCTCCAGGAGCGTCTCGCCAAGCTCTCTGGCGGTGTTGCCGTCATCAAGGTCGGTGGTGCCTCCGAGGTTGAGGTCGGTGAGAAGAAGGACCGTGTTGTCGACGCTCTCAACGCCACTCGTGCTGCTGTTGAGGAGGGTATCCTCCCCGGTGGTGGTACTGCCCTCCTGAAGGCCTCCGCCAACGGTCTTAGCAACGTCCAGACCGCCAACTTCGACCAGCAGCTCGGTGTCAGCATCATCAAGAGCGCCATCACCCGCCCCGCCCGCACCATCGTCGAGAACGCTGGTCTCGAGGGCAGCGTCATCGTTGGCAAGCTCACCGATGACTTCGCCAAGGACTTCAACCGTGGTTTCGACAGCTCCAAGGGCGAGTACGTCGACATGATCTCCACCGGTATCGTCGATCCCCTCAAGGTTGTCCGCACCTCTCTGGTTGACGCCAGCGGTGTTGCCTCCCTCCTCGGTACCACCGAGGTTGCCATCGTTGAGGCCCCTGAGGAGAAGGGCCCTGCTCCTGCCGGTGGCATGGGTGGCATGGGCGGTATGGGCGGCATGGGCGGTGGCATGTTCTAAGCTAGCCCCGTTCTCGTGTAGCCTTCCCCGTTCCTTGTTTCTAAAGAGGTTTCCCTTCCAGCGTGTTGTTGCATAGTACGGGCATTGTCCTGATATGTTTTTTTCTTGTTCTTGGTTTTCGACTATCTCCTTTGTCTCTAATGTGTTATACGTCTTTGGTCACCTAACCACATCCTCTTTTACCCGACCTATCCTATTTCCACCTCTTATATCCTCTCCTCCCTTATCATCTCCACTCCGTTATATTGGGCACAAAAAGTCTCAGGGAGTCCTGTGTATCATACCATGTACTTTATGTGCTCCACGGCCGTTTACTCTGCCGTGGTGTTTTGCAATTTCATTAATTAATTGTTCATGAACATGCTTTTGCCTTCGCCGTAGTGTAGTGATAAAATGTCATTGCCATCCAAGTAATATACGAGATACTGTAGTATCATGATGATACCCATTAACAATATCGGACCTAATTTACTGCCACCCAACATCAAAGCGATGTCATACATTCCCATCTATAAAACAAACACCAAAACCCAAACATATCAAACCTCCCAACCTCATCTATCCACACCCAAATACCCACCTCCCCATCATCTTCAGTAATAAGTAACCATCTATCTATCCCACCCCCCACTCCCTCCCCTTCTCCGCATACGGATCCGTCCTCTCCCTCTCCACCTCCCCATCCACCAAGACCGGACGCCCCACACCACCA